AATGTCAAGCTGCGCTGGCGACCTACTGCCTTGCTGAGGTGGTGATGATTCTTCAACAAACGCGGCGATTTCGGCGGAGTTCCGAAGTTTCTCGACGTGGCCCACAGCGGCACCTTTTGTGAGGTGTTGCGTTTCATTTCGGAAGTTCGTCACGAGGACCACAGTCCGCCCATCCTGAAGTTCAGCTACTCCTTTTGCGAGGCCTATTCCTCTTCCTAGGAGCAATTGAAGGTTGCCTTCCAAGACAACTGCGCCGGAGGTAGCTGTATCGGCCACGACGGGTATGACAACACTTGATCGCGGTGGCAGGTTCACGTGGTCGGCAGCGACTCGGATGGCGGCTGACGCTGTTTAAGGTTTCTCTGAAGGTGGCACAGGGGTTCGCAGCGTCAATCTGTTTTCACGAAGGTCGATGGCGGCGCCGTATTCAGACAGAAAGTCCATGCCGAGAATGACGTCCCTGGCACAGTCTTGTACAATGACAAATTTCACAGGGCACGTCTCCCCATGGATCTTGATGCGAGCGGTGCATCTTCCGACTGGTGTGATGCCCTCCGGCGGTTCGTATTTGAGGTCCATCCCACGGCGTCGTCACTTTTCGCAGGCGGCGAGAGAGCCTCCCACTCAAGACTGAGTAGTCCGCTCCGGTGTCCACGAGTGCCGATCCGTCGAGGCCGTCGATAACAACGTTTAGGCTGTTGGACACCGTTGCAGGGACGTCGGTACGATGCTGGGCGTCGGTAGAGTGGGAGCGCTCCGGCGTTCTTGGAGGCTGTTTGCTTCCGTCGTTTTCGGCAACGTCACCTCCAGGCGTTGCCGCACTTAGTTTTCCCGGCGACGCAGGGGAGATAGGCTCTCTCGGCGGGGTCGTTGCGCTGGGAACGCTGAACGTCGTGGTGATGGGGAGCGGGCTTCACGGCAGAGAGACGACACTGGGGAGGGCGAGCGTCGGAGGTACTCCTCAATGTCGCGAGGGCGTTTGTCGTATCTTGGGCGCGGGTCGCTCGGGTGGAACCCGCGCAGCCCCAGTTGTCTGTAGGGGCATCGACGGTAAATGTGGCCAGCTTCACCGCAGTGATAGCACAGGGGTCGTCGATCCGCTGTCCTCCACACGTCGGTCTTTCGTGGCGCTGCCTGTTCTGGGTGGGCGTGCGCCCGATCTTCCTGGCGTCGGGGAAACTGCGGCGCTGGAGGTTCACGTCGGGGTGGCGCGGTGTACGGGTGAGCAGGGGGCGGTGGTCGTCGAGTAGCTGCGGCGTAGCTCAGTGTCGGTTGTTCGGGAGCGGCGTTGACAAGAGCTTGTGGCTGCAGCGCCTTCTGAACTTCTTCCCGGACAATCACGGCGATTGAGGGCGAATCCGGGCTTGCGGCAGCAGGAAGAAGCTTCCTGATTTCCTCCCGCACGACGTCCCGGGTGATGTCGCGGAGGTCCGGGCCGGTGCAGCTGGAAGTCGAGAAGGCAGCGACGCCGGGAAGTCGCTGGTAATGGGAGGCCCGTGCTTGAAGGGCCCGTTCGATGTTTGTGGCTTCCTTGACGAAATCTTCGAAGGTGGCTGGGGGTTGCGGACAAGGCCTCCGAAGATGGTCTCTTTCACCCCTCGCATCAGGAACCGCAGCTTCTTCTCGTCAGGAGCGTTTGGGTCGGCGCGGTTCATGAGGCGGAGAACGTCCTCGACGAAACTTGTGACGCTCTCGTTTGGCCCTTGGCTTCTTGCTTGAAGAAGTTCCTCGGCCCGCTGACGTCGCTGCTGGCTGGCAAACGTGCGTCGAAGTTCCGTCTGGAAGTCTTGCCACGACGAAATTGACGCTTCGTGGTTCTCGAACCAGGTGCGTGCCGTGCCTTCCAGAGCGAAGTAGACGTTCTGAAGGCACTGCTCCGGAGTCCATGCGTTATGGCGAGCAACTCGTTCGTAATGTTGCAGCCAATCTTCAACGTCCTCGTGTACCTCCCCGTGGTATGGCGTCGGAGTCCGGGGTGCGACGGGAAGGTATACGACGGCGGCGGCGCACGGGTTCTGCGACGACTGGTTGTCCATCGTCGGCTTCGTTGGCTGCCTGGTCCGGGGTGGCAGAAGTCCGTGTTCCGGGGGTAGACCTTGGGTGCGGCGACTGGATCGGGTCTCGATCTGGTCTTCGCTCGGTCCTCGGGAGGCTGGGTCCGGACTTGCACTGCGGGAACTCGGAGGGGAGCGCTGCACGGGCATGCGGGTACCCCGCACCTCCACCAAAATTTCACGGGTGGTGACCAATAAACAAGAAATAAACAGGAATAAATAAACGTTTAATGTGGCGAACTTGTGCCAAAAATAAAAGGGTACAAAAGGTAATAAGGGAGCGTCGAAGTCGGCGTAACAGCAGAGTCGAACGCTGGGGCGAAACTGACTCCTCTCGCCTTGCGGGATCCCTTATGTACCCTCGTGGGTTTCTGGATCGTTCGGCGTGGAGAACATTCTAACCTCGAATCAGTAAGACGGTTCTCGAATTCACCAGAACATCAAATTACACTGTCAAGAAAAATGTGTAGTCGCGGCCAGGAATCGAACCCTGGCCTTCTGCGTGGGAGGCAAGCGAGATAACCGTTAGGCCACGCACGCGCTGCCTACTTGGCCAGCTGCGCGCGTGGCATTATCCACTATAATCGAGGGGGACATTGTTAATTCTTGTCTGTGCGATTATGCCTTGAGCTTCTTGAAGATCCACACAATCACTTGGAGTCCCTCTATCCCTGTCTTCAATTGCAAATTAAAAAAGGGGACTGAAAAAACGGATATAACTTAAAAAGCCCATGAAACGAATTTTGGGCTGGGATAAATCAATTTAGATTGGAATTTTACTAATAGCAAACCGTTCAGTGGGCCAAAAGAAAAAGGATAGAAAGTCAAAATTCTGACTTTCGCTACGAAAATTTGAAAGCACAGCGGACTATTTTGTACATCCTTCCCTTAGTAAGCTCTCTCCCTTTTCACTGGGATACATCCGCGGTCCCCAAGGAGCGTCACCGGGACCAAACGCACGTCACGCGACACCGGACCTCACTTTTTTCCCTTCACCCCCAAGCTGACGTTGTGGTGGAAGCTAAGTGCTTGCCGGACCAATCAGCCGCCTCCCTTTCATGATCTGGCCTCATTCTCTGCGGGTGGGTATGTGCGAGAGAGCGTGATCACGTGACAAGAATGTGGCTGGCCCAACTAGCACGTAGCTCCCACAGCACTGTCAGCTTCGGGGTGAACGGTGTGGGGAAAGCAACTTTTGTCTGAATTTTGAGCGACGGGCTAATCTTCCAGGAAGAGAATGGCTGTGTCCGGGTACACTAACGACAGTCCGAGCAAGAGGGGAGTCCCTCCTTTCCGCCTTCTTGAACTGTTTGGTAGAATGCGCGATTAATGAGCTGAGGAGGAAAGCTAAACAGGAAAAAGTTGGAAATGTGTTTCATCACCCCTTTAAACCCACTTTTTTTTTTTTTTTTTTTTTTGTTTAGAAGTGCCTATTTAGATTTTCTGAATATGTTGTTCGGGTATGCGAAAAAAGACATTTTTTTTCAGGGGCTTCATGTTGTAAAGAACTGCTCTGTGGAATTGATGAGTGTCAAGCCTCCATTTGCGCTGGACATCAATGTGCGCGACAGTGTGACTGCAGTCGACTTTACCAAAATGAACAATATTTTTTTTCTCTCCGAAGGGAAAGGGGGGGGGGGGGGGTCGTAGATTAAAAATGTAACGATTTACAAGTAATCCGTTAAGTAAATATGTAAGTAAATTACCTTAACTCTAAAAATGTGTAATTATTCCGTTACAAAATTACTAATAAATGTAAGGGATTACAAGTAATTACGTTACTTGTAACGGATTACGTACAAGTATGGTTTAGTGTATACACTAACTCAACTCTGTGACGTCACGGCGCGGTGGTGGCGCGTCGGTCGCACTTCCGGTCTGGGGCTGTGGGCAGAAGTTCCCATGGCAGACGTGTATTCCTGCGTATTTTTGGAAGGAACCAGACAAAAACCTGCTTTCTCGTCAAAACGGCGCGACTGGGGCCGTGCCGAAAGTGTCGAGAAAGGTTTGAATGTCAGTTTTCACGTGCTCGGTTCGTCCGAGATTCTGAATATATGCCTTGAAAAGGGAAAAGCAGACGCCGTCGGACAACGACTGCTTGGGCGGGAAGTACTTTGGGTTGAATTCGCGGATACTTGTGATAATTAGATTTATTTGTTTTGTTCCAACATGAGCACCAGAAAACCGTTAAGCTGTGCGGACCACCTGCGGAGCACGTTCAGTGCGTCTTCAAGCTCAAACGGCCACCTGATCGTTCGAACTGTCGTCTGCTCTTTGAAATGTTTTGTCGTCTGCTCTCTTAGACGACGCCGGCCACCAAATGTTGGCCCGGTACTTGCGATAAGAAATAAGTGCAGGCCTCAAAAGACTTAAGTTTGAAGGTTGGTAAGCAGGCTCGATGTAAACAGTAGGTACAAGGAGATGTTGATCGTTGTTACCAGTGACCGTCACCGACTTGTTATGCCTAATTCGCTTGGTCCGATTCTGCTTGCGATTTTCTGTATCGACGTCGACCACCTCAGCTACGGTTCACGCTTCTGCAGCCCGAACGGCGTCGCGACTGAAAATTGCGAGTAAAATCTCAACTTGCGAATGAGGCTTTAGCGTCCATTCTGCGGCGTCCACGCGGAATGGATCGCCGCATATTACATTATTCACGGGAAGTTTCGCGGTATAACGAGACCCGGTAATTTCGCTGAGGCCGCTCAAGTAGTCAGACATCGTCAGGAAGACGTAGAATCAACCATTCGAATGCGAAAAGGGGCAGGGGGACTCCACCGACGCCGATAAAATCGCATTTCAATGGTTTGCTTATGGGCGACGGCGAGCTTCTTGCCCACACCCCATCGCGCATGCGCGGCGCCGGTGGCGTCCGCTAGGGGCGCTCTGGTTTGTTTGTAAACATGAGTTGGTGTATAGTTTCCTAACCGTTCTACTTATTCGCAGACGCTGGAGTCCTACCTGGCTGGTTTCCGGTTCCTGGTGCTGAGCAACGCCTTCATGATTCATCGTGGCTTGCGGAGTAGCAACTGGAATGCCCCGTACCGCAATGCCGAAAAGAGACACAACTATCAGGTTTTCCTCAGGTTCCGAAGGACCCTGCAAGAGCGTTACGGGAGAGGCATGGAGTTCACATGAACGGCGTGAACATTCCTCAATCATTTCTGGGGGGTTTGTTGTAAGCGTTTCGGTTAAAAAGCCTGAGGCTGCGAAACGACAAAGGTAAGGTCATGTCTTGTGACATGAAATGGTGTACAGCGTTGATGGCAGAAAAATAGTACCCAAACAGGTTTTTGGGTTGTAATCCACGCGACAGATTTAATCTGTGGAGATCATTGATGGCGCGGTGGATACTGTGATTAGTGTCATCTTGATGGGGACTGGTCCTTGGACTGATGATCCCTAGACAAATGATCATTCCCAAAGGAATTCCCGGAGTGGACTCCGAAGTGATTCCATGAAAATATTCCACAGTGGTTCCTGTAGTGGTTCCTTGAGTAGACTGCGGAGTTGACCCTGCAATGGATCCTGCAGTGAATTATGCGGTGAATACTGAAGTGGACTGTAGGTGCGCTCTGCACTGGACTATGCAATGGATTCTGCAGCGGTTTCTGAAGCGAATTTTGAATTGGACTCTTGAGTGGACTGCGAATGGGACTCTGCAGTAGACTCTGAAATGGATTCTACAGTGAATTCTGAAGTGGATTCTATAATGGACTTTTGAGTGGACTGCTGACTCTGCAGTGGAGTCTCCAGTGGGCTCTGCAGTGCGCTCTGCACTGCGCTCTGCACTGCGCTCTACAGTGGGCTCTACAATGGGTTCTACAGTGAGCTTTACAGTGGCCTCTACAGTGGTCTCTACAGTAGTCTCTATAATAAGCTCTGTAGTATAGCTCTGTAGTAAGCTCTGTAGTGGGCTCTGTAGCGGGCTCTGTAGCGGGCTCTGTAGCGGGCTCTGTAGTGGGCTTTGTACTGAGCTCTGAAGTGAACTCAGCAGAGGATTCTGAAGTGGATTCTGGAGTGAACCCCAGAACCCTTGGGTCCAGAACTTACTCTTGTGTGCCCTCTCAGATGACCCTTGGTGTTGTTGAACGGAGATCGACTGACGTCTGGTGCGTGGACAGTTTTCGAAACGTGCAAGTCCTTTGCGTTTCTTTGGTGTTCATGACCTGTATATGTGAACTGTCATGTGTGTGAGGACACGAGATAACGCTGACTTGTTCACCGAGTGGGCGAGGAACAGCTTCGTGGATTTAATGTGGATTCTTGCAGAAAGAAATGTCAGAGCCAGAGCACCAATCGTTGGTGAAGGTCGCCAGCCAAAGACTTTCGGCAATGTGTAAAGTCTTATTATCAGTGTATGGGACTGCAAGAAAATTCGCAAGGGGAGGTTCGTGGTTCACTGTGTTTAACGGAATGAATGTTCAACCGAACGTATGCACAGCACATCACGGATGGGGTGTCCTTGGCCGTGTCGTTTTAACCAGAAAACTGTCGCAGACTACAGGATGGAATTACCAGTTGTGACGAACGGTACTTACCTGACGTTACAGCCGGCATTATGCAAAGCCTATGGAAGCACTTACTATCAAGTTGACAACGGTTCTACCCTTCAATCATCGTAAGTGATGTCAACGTTTCAAAGCTATTTGGAAAATAAAAGTTAGTGGAGGGAGCTCTATATTAGGGAAGCACCTTTCGGTCCCGTTTTCCTAATTTTTCCGCGCTGGAACATAGCTTGAGGTGGTTTAGATTTGAGGAGCCTCACGCGCAATAAACGCAGCGCAGGTGTCTCACAGATACTCAGGGACAGCAAAACTATGTGTCTCTTTTTCCAGTCTTCTGGCAAGCAGAGTACCCAGGCACCCACACACAGCTTCTGTTCACCACACAAAAGCCTTTATGGCCAGTGACGGTGACACAGTAGCGAACTAGATTAAACGCAATCTAAGATAGGTGGTCATGGAGGCACATGAAAGGTGCCACATCCAAAGCCGTGGAAGCTGGAGTACCAGTAGCCGAAATCTTGGCAGCAGCCGACTATAATCCTGAGACGCAACAATCAGTCACTTTTAATCGACGCCAGCCAGACCCTTGGGGGCACATTATGGGGTTCAGGTGTTGAGTGTACATGCCGAAGCTTTGAACAAGCAGCTGCGAGCTTGGTAGTAAGTGCGACAGAAACTAAAGTATAATTATCAGTTCGGACGAACGGTTGCCACCGCTTACGAGGAAACACATTGGCACACTCAATCAGGTTGCCCTGGGAAAAACGAAAAATTTTTTTTTCGATCTTCGTATAAATCATATTGAGGTTTTTGCAGAATTTTTTAGATTAAATCGATGCACTCTGCAAGAAAGTGTCTCTCATAACGGGAACTATTTCAAGCAAACGATAAAAGCGTGATTTGTAAAATGCACGCACATCTGAGGTGTACTAGGGCACCAGTGGTAATAGCAGTCGCAACGTAGTCGAACACACTCAAACGCAAATGTGGGAACCAGCCTTGACTATCAAGTGCGCCCTGCTCATCCGTTTTCATGTCGCAGGTCGAGGGACCTTCTGGCATCGAGGATAGCCGGCAGCCACGAGTGGCTACGAGTGCCAAAGGCGCAGGACGAATAAAAGAGATAAAGAAACATGAGCCGTTCCACTCTGTGAAGGTAGATGACCAGCGAGGCTGTTTAGCACACGACGCAGACAGGCAACAAGACATGAGCGACGGGACCGCCACGCCGGGAGAGCGGAAGGAAAGGAAACTAGGCACGCAAGCGCTTGGAACGACGACAAAGAGAGGGCGGTGCAAGCGTAGACATGGCCGCCGCAGGTCGCACAGTGGCAAATCTTTGAGAAACCTTTATTATCTACCTGAGGGTCTACTGATCTTGAAAATTGTGCCTATTGATAACTAATCTACTGAATCGCCCTATTGCTAAATTACCCAAGCATCAAGGAGAACATAGAGAATGGTGTTCCACGCGCCGTAAGTGCGGGCATCGGCAGTTGTAATTGTTCTAAAGCAAAAGCCTAAGACAAATGGCATCTTGCACACGCGTTCGTCAACACCTTATTTTGGTTGTTTACTTCAAATATTTTATATGGGGAAGCTAGTTATGCGCGTGCGGCTGTGTGAGCGTAGAGTTTTCGGTTTCAAACAGCTTCGCTGTACTGTGTTTTTAGTGCGTGCATGCACGGGACTCCTCAAATCTGTACCGCCATGATCGTACCTTTCAAAAGTTCATCGAGCAACAGTGGCGGTCGCCATTTCTTGTGCACGAGATGTGTGATTGGCTCCCGAGTCCTTGCCGAACGCTTACGCTGCACTCGTGTCCAACACATGCTCAAATGCCCAAACAATGACGGACTCGGATAATTTGTGCAGCAGCTACTAGGCGGCGCGCACTTTTGGAAAGGGCTTATTCTATGCTCCACAAGCAGCTCGAAAAGACATTTGACAACGGACACTTCCCTAAAGGGGAGCGCCTAGCTCCACCTATACATTTATTTTCCAAGTGGCTTTGAAACGTTGATAACGTTGACATCAATTCCCGTGATCTAAGAAAAAAAGCAGATGAGAACCTGATAGAAATGGCGACAAGGGCTGATTAGGATAAATTCTTGAGGGTTGTGAAGATGGATTCCTGAGTGAGTATTGTTGGAAGTTAGCGTGCATTGCAATTTTAAGCGTCTTCTAATCGCTGAATGAGTTGCGCTGCTTTTTGATTACCCTGGAGTACGGTGTTATAGGATGGTTGACTTTTCAATTCTTCGTGCTGTTTTAAATAGAGGGAACGCAGTCGTTCAAAGTAGCTTTTTACTGAGCTGGACCTTTGTCCGTCGTCTGCTACGTTTTGGATGGGTGTCTGCGCACCTCGCCAGTTCAAATACTACTTTTATTTTTTTTTATAGAAGGTGTGATGGTAGTAAGACGGCGGTGTATTGGTGCGACCCGAGATACGAAACATTCAATTATAGTTCAAAGTCTTCAATACTTAGAGTTCTTCAATGACGACGTTGGCAGGGTATGTTCACATGGCGCCGCCATCTTCGTGCTTTGGGGGGGGGGGGGGGGTTAAGCTTTGTTAAGTTGTGCCCATTGTTACCAGAGTGACTCCCGCACATGAATGGATGAATGGTCGCTAACGGGTGTACCCGTTATAAGGGCTGGTAGCTTGCGCCACCTAGCTTAGAAATCAAAAGTATGAGTTTTCCTCCCCGCCGTATCCCTTCCATTCTGTCTTTGTATCTATCACCAGGCGGTAACACGGTCCCGCTTCAAAATCTATAGATTTTGAAGCGGGACCGTGTTTGCAATATGAACGCTCTCAGTATTTATAATGATTTTAATAGAGCTTATACTGATTTTATCAATACCTGGACCAGGCACGTAGCCAGGGGGGGGGGGGGGCGCCCCCCCCCATACAGCATTTTGTCATGGGCGCCCCCCCCCCCCCCCCGAAACAAAATCCTGGCTACGTGCCTGGCCTGGATATATGTTTGGTTAGACATTCTACACACGGTTTTTCTAAATACAGCAACAACAAGGGATGCAGGATGTTTTATTTCCTTCTGCCGAAACTTACTCGGTTGAGTAGTTTCTCTCACATCCTTATTGTCGGTTTACACGCGATATTGGGGCATTTGCATGCGTTATGTATAGTTCCCTGTACTTCTGTCGTGACTGCCCGGTTTCCTTTGGAAATCGCTTTCCAGCGCGGATTACTAAATTGCTGAATTTCATTCCTATAATTTGTTTTTGTCTTCAGAGCTTGTCGATTTTGAACGTTTCTCCCACTTTCACCGTTAACCAAATCATTCTGTCTAGTCACACTATACCTGCACAACACCATGAGTGCGTTGAGTATTGTCAGCTTTAACTCAAATTTTGGCCACTTCACGTGTTTGAGCATGGTACACCAAAAGAGGTGTGTGAGTACTGCTTCGAATAAAATAGCGCTGTGGCATCTCTATAGACCTTTCCAGAAAAAGGGCTTCCGGCCGGTGCACTTTTCAGTGTTCGTGCGTATGGCGCGTGATTTGCTCGTTTTCCGAAGCGAACATGCGTGTGCTGGGCTGAGGATTTGTAAATATTGGAATGGTGACCATTCCATGAACCGCTTGCTGTTTACAAACATGAACTGCCGCTTACTTCCCAAGCGACTTCGGGTCGCACTGCCTTTCCAAGCCTGCTGAACTTGCTTATGTCACCAGTGCTAGGAAGCATAAATGCTACGCGGACAACAAAGTTGGAGATTTAACGAGGACGTTTGGCTGTACAATATTATACATCTTGGAGGAGGCAAGTTGGTTTACAAGAACACTCGAAACATTTTAACAGATCTTGCACTCCTTCGTTCTCTTAGCGTTCACCTGGAGAATTGGTGGTAAACGTTCCATCTAGATTTCAAGCGGCGGAGTTAAGGTGGCCTTTGTTCGTTAGTTTTCTAAACCGGAAGTTCTCTGGGACATCAAAGACCGGAGCACCACCTGGTAGCGTTTGCCATAAAAAAGGTCTAGTCAGTATATCGTGGCATAGGCTATGGTCGGGGCTTTCTCTTGCACCGTAAACGCTATCAATGACGCAGGACTATTTGATTCGAGCCAATGTTAGCATGCCCCTAAACATTAGCTGTTTATGGGCACATG